AATGAGTTCTATAATTGGTTTTACTTTTTATACTGTGGGGTGCAGAAGAGGATCCTAAAAAAGAATGGGAGGGTTGATTAAGATTAAGAATGTTGCCTATGTCTTATGCACGACATATAGAATAAGCTGCTTTATTATTATAGCTAAAAATTCTTAACCATCAAATTCTGAAATTTTTTCCTAAAGATTTTATTCATTTATTTCTGTGAGGAAGAGTTGGGTGTAGGCCTGAGACTGGGGGCAAGGGGGTACAGGTGAGAGGATTCACAGAAACAGAGTGGGGAGCAAGCTGACCAGGTAGATTTACTGAAACACACTGTTAAGGGGAACAGCAGGCAAGACAGAAGAGGTCTGCAGTGCAGTAAGTGAATTAGCTCCCTGGCCAGGACTGAACTCAGGTCAGTACTCAGGCATTTGAAGTGGGTCCTCCTGGTGATAGTGCTGAGACTTAACCCCTAAGCCACCAGGGTGGCGCAAATTTCTGAAATTCTTTTATTTTTTTCCATAATTGAAGTTGATAACCAAATTATATTAGTTTGAAGTGTGATTTATATTCCTTTTCTTCCCATCATCTTGAGGGAAAAAAAACGAGTTTCTGCACTCCTTGATTTTATATGCTTTTAAAAGTACTTCTAATATTTTAAATTCCTTTCAAGCTATGTAATTTAATATTTGGATGCTAGATAATTTATTATGTAAACGATAAAATGGTGATGTATATTAATGTTAGCTCAACCATATATTAATACTATCTGGGACTGTGTGATTATAGTTCTATGGAAGAAATAATTTGTCTGTGTTCACTAGCTTATAAAAATCTAGTGTACGAGCTTTTAAAATTTTAATTACTTTTGTCTATTACAAAAACAAGCATCTTGAACATCATAATTCAAACTGTCCAGAGGAGGTTCTCCTCAAACTTGCCTTACCTTCATTGATGTTTGTTATCCCCTTCAAAAAAATTGTAAAGTTACTTTTTCCTTAAAACCTCACCTATTATAACTTTGCCACTTTGAACACAAGTCATAACCCTTCAGTAGATACAATGTGAAATAGTCACATTAAGAAAAACGCACAGGAGTAAAGATAAAGACAGGGAAGACTCACCCTGGCCTTCTGCACTGCATCTCTGTGGGAAAGACACCACCCAGGAGGGTGTCAGGAATCATTCCACCTCTTAAGATTCACATGAAATGGCCTGCTTATACTAAAAAAAGCTCTTACATTAGATTTTTGGATTTAGGTATGTTTCCCAAAGCCACTCTGTGCCAGACAACTGATAGTCCATTTCTGCTCTAATTACATACTAATACTTTAATTACTCGGACTACACAATAAGTTTAAAATATCTATCTGGGAAAGTTCATATCCTTATATCTCTCCATTACCTCTTATTCTTTTATCACATTTTTTTTGAGCACCTTTTCTTTAAACTTTGAAAACACTGTCACTTTTTCCTCCAAAATTTTTACAAAGATTTCCATTAGGGAAGAATTGTATTTTACCTGTATTGAATCTCCCCATTCAAAACAACATTATATCCTTAGATTTGCTCTTGTTTTCCTCTGGGTTCCTTGAAGGTAATTTTATTGTTTTACTCACATAGATCTTTACATGTTTCTTGCCAAGTATCTGCCTATTATGCTTTGATACTATGAATGGTATTTTTTTTTTTTTTTGGCTATTCTCTTTTTTAAAAAAAGATTTATTTACTTATGCATACAGAACTGGAGCATAAGCCAGAATTGCAGGGGTGGTGAGAGGCTTCACCAGAGACAGAGTGGGGGGGAGAACAAAAAGATAGTCAAAGTACACTGCTGAGGAGAGCAGCAGTCGGGTCAGGAGAGGTCTGCCAGCCAAGTGGATAGCTGATCACCTGGGCAGGGTGAGGGGTGGGGGGAGTTAGGGGATGGAACTCAGACTGAAGGGGCTGTGGCCAGCTTGCAGTGCTGCATCCTAACTGAATGGTATTTTTTTGTCACAACTATATTTTCCAAATTGTATTTGGGAAACTATAAAAATTCTTATATTGGCCCTCCCTAGTGGCGCAGCGGGTTAAAGCACTGCACTAAGAAACTAAAGCCACTTCCTCATGAGTTCGATCCCGGCCTGCCCCGGAGGCGACCACATGGTGAGGC